CTGAAACGAACGTGTTCTACGATTTTGTTTAGTTTAGGAGATAGAGTTAATTCTTTCATTTAAAATCACAAAATGAACTATATCTCCTAAACTAAGCAATATCGTAGAACATACATGGGGGTGTTTTAGATACACCTTGATGTAAGGAATCTAAATTTTTGCTTTGAACGTCAACTCCCTGGCCATCCTGTATATTAACCTCCTTCTGGCGCAGTCGGGTAAAAACACCAATTTTCTTTTTAATAAGGCCGTATATGTCACAAGCTTTTTAATATCGCGTCCGAAACATGTCTGTCTTGGGCTTAGCTTAGTCCCTGTAAAGGGCCTATTCCGGCCGATAATAAAACCTGGATTAGAAGCATGTTTCATGAATATTCACAGCCCCAGAGGGTTAAATGAACTAGATAATTGTGGCCTGGACTACATAAGGATTAGAGGTTATACTAGACTGCATGTAGAATATAAGACCGCTTAACATTATAATGTTGGAACTAAGGCCACAATCAACAAGGAAACGAAATCGCTATACGATTTAAACGAACTTTTAAAATCGCTTTATCGTTAACTGATGCATAACTGCTGAAATAGGCAACAAAGAGAAAACAAAGCTCTACAAATGCAGGATATCGATTGTACCTATTGCATTCCTGAAATCATACTGAAAACACTTTGCTCTTCTAAAAAATATATTAGACTAGCTATTGCCCGCGGCTTCACTCGCATGAAATTTAATTTGTCACAGATCGTCATAAATTATAGCCTATATGTTATTGTGGGTTATATACAATAATACTGTAAAGTTTCATCAAAATCCGTTCAGTAGTTTTTGCGTGAAAGAGTAACAAACATCCAGACATCCAAACTTTCGCATTTATAATATTAGTAGGATCACTAGAGGCCTATGCTACTGTCTATCAGCTCGGAATTAATCTTAGGGTTTTATTTGATTTCAATTTTAGCAATGCTTATCGACGCCGAAAATACAGTATAAGCAGCACATAAGTACGAGTGTACATTTTTATGGTAAAATGCCACAGTGCTTAATTTGATGATGACGTCCGTACCTAATTACTCCTTCATTTTAATTTAGAAAATACTGTAATATGCGAAAAAGAAAATCATTAAAACGCTTTTTCTAGAGTTACATGTTTTCTATGAAATAACTTTAAACCGACACAACTAATTACAATTTAATATCTGCATCGGATGGCGAAGCATACATATGCATGGTAACTATGAATTTAAATTAACTCGCGTTTTGTTCGCTGGCAATAATATAACTTTCATGGTCTAAAGCGTTCGCAATGTATGAAGGCAGTTCAAGTTTTACGCTGTGGCAGCTTATGTGGTTGTAATAAGAGCTATATTACAACAAAAATGTATAGTTTGATATGCATCCAACATTACAATGGGCAGAAATTTAATGGAATCCGTAGCTGTTGTCGGAAATGGCCTTTTTGTTTTGCAATTTACAATTTGTAATACGTACTAAATTGAAAATTGTAAGTACTCGTAATTCGAAAAAGTTGGAATCAAAACGTGCCACTTTTAACTACATATCATACATCATGCACGTGGCCTAGTTTTTATTTTATTAATATCGATTTTCGATTCCGCAAATATTGCTCGTTGGGAAGTGTACCCATGGGTTTAATGAATACTAATAAGATGGATGGATAGTACAATTCGTTGAATAACTAGCTTTTGTTGGCGGATTCACCCGCCTGTATCTACAAGTCACTCGCCCGTATTCACAAACGATGTTTGCTTAAGTGAAGCGGCAAATTGAACTTACAACGTTGAATAGAGCTCTGTGATTGGTTCGTGTGTCACGCTGTGCTTCCACACGCACTGTGAGACCTTATAGTAATGTTTGTGAATACGGGCGTAAATCTACTTATTTAACAGTCTTTTTCGCGTGTGTGATAATGGTATTAGATCTTAAAATGAGGGTTTGGTAAAACGACATCATCATATTTCCCTAGAATTAATGACTATTACTTATAACAAACTAGCTTACCGCCCGCGGCTTTGCCCGCGTGGAATTTTGTCTGTCTCAGAATAACTTTATCGCGCGCTTCCTTGTTTCAAAAACCGGGATAAAAACTACCCTATGTCCTTTCCCGGGACTTAAACTATCTGTATGCCAAATTTCATCAAAATCGGTTCAGTGGTTTAGGCGTGAAAGCAAGACAGACAGACAGAGTTACTTTCGCATTTATATTAGTATAGAAGTATAGATACACTAACGGCACATAATAAAGACATTACATTTCTTCCATTATCGTAATGTCTTATTATCCCCCCAGAACACAATTACTAGCCAAATAATCGAAAAAGCACACAAAAAACTACAATAATGGCGCCTGACAGCAATATTCGCGATAGAAATGGGCTAGGCCATCAATTTTCTATTATAAGTCGCATGATAAATGTTTTTATTATGCGTTGGTCATAGGGCGTAATGGATGCCCATTCGTACTAGAAAACCCACGGGCATTGGCATTAGACTTAGAGCTAGTGAACGCCAGACCTACGTCATTTTATAAAAGCTGAAAGTTTGTCAGCGTATGCTCCCAATATAGGTTAGAATGTTGGTGAATCATCAAGTTTGGGTCATCGTGGTTTTGGCAGCTATCCTAAAAAAACTGTCTGTCTGTGAGTTGGAACTGGTAAAACTATCTGGCTGATGTGGAAACAACTTATAATCATTTGACAAAGTTTCAGCTCATATAAAATGACGTAGGTCCGGCGTTCACTAGCTCTTAGTCTACATTGGCCTCTACCGAATGGCTAGATAGGCAATAAATTACAAGATAAGTAATGATCTGCCCCTGGATTTCTTGATACGAATGTATTAGTTCCATCGATGTTACGAAAGGAAAAACTTTCACCTTGGTAGAAACTCCTTAAAACATGACAAATATAGCTTAAAAACTGCAGTTCATGACGACAAAAGTTGTCATTGTAATACCCATCATTAATAATATCAAGCTCTACGCGACGGTTGACAATACCGAAAAAAGATCAGTCATTCTACAGAAAAACATTTCGACATAGAGCGTAACACTTGGGCTTAAAAATGCACAATAAACTGCGGAAATCGCTTGCATTTAAGTGACTACCCAACTGCTACACCACTTACACCCGTATTCACAAACGATGCTTGCTTAAGTGAAGCAGCAAATCGAACGCACAGCGTTGAATAGAGAGAGCTTTGTGGTTGGTTCCTGTGTGACCCTGTGCGTCTACGCGCACTGTGAGACCTCGTAGGAATATTTGTGTATACGGGCGTTAGTCTCAAACACCATTTATTTGGTTTCCTTACCATTATCATGCGTCATTCACGCACTCACCGACCGGATAGTGACGTACAATACCACGTTCCAATCATCCGATACTTTACAAGCCTCGTAAAACATCTTTCAAATCACACGCACGTGCCTCTAAATGTTCGTTGCCATACTCCATTAGCCTGCCCTTGATTTCGGGACATTTCGACATTTTGGGGTAAAATGTGTCAATGCCAAATCACCAGTGTAACTTGAGCTCTTCCCCCCTTTGAATTCAAGAGAGTCTCTAAATATTTAGATGATGATCGGAGGTTTGCGTATACTGGTTTTAGGACAATAGGGTTGGCACGTGGGAATCTAATAGGGGAGACATACTACTGTTACAATGCGTTTATGGCCACGAAATGGTAGCCGGTGAGTTATTTGTGATCGCCTATTATTTCTATCAAGCTACAGGGGAAAATTCTCCTTAACTCCATTAGTTACGGTCTATGTTTTTAATCTTTGAATTTTAGATACGATTCAGAACGAAATTTTTGTTGTGTGGATTGCTTATTCGCAATTGGGTAACAATCGCTGTAATTACGTTTATGTAAACATAAGGCGATGTACATTTGATAATTCTTTGTTTGACTGTGATTTAGTTTGATGGTAATTTTAACTGTTAACAGAATGTTAAGTATCCTGGGATTAATTTAGTATTGGAAAATGGTTTCAGGGTCAAACAATGATCTTGATGAAGCTATAAAACTTAATCGATGAAGGCCAAATAAAATTTAAACTAGTGCATGCATTGGACCCGCAACGATATTTTAATCATAAGAAAGAAGATCGTAGCTAAAATTCGTGTAACAAAAAAAAAAGTCATCAATATACATTTTTTTGAATTTCATTTAATGGTTTTCATTCATTTTCATTTTATGCCTCGCCATAAAGCGGAACATAAACTTATTAAATTTTTATACAAATGGCAATTGCATAAACTTAGGGGGCGTGATATGGCATGCGCAGTTGCACTGTGACGTCACAGATAACTTATTGCATCTGCCCAAAATCAATTTCACGCGTCACGTGACACATTCGGGGTAAATTTTAATAAACGTGGAAATAGGACAAATTATCAACTTTTCGAGGGAGTCAAAGAATGAAGTCCAAATATTATAGTGAAATCCTTCTGAATAATATGAATTTCTTTTCCTAAACAAAAGATCCCGAGGTAAAGTGTCGTTAACTTGAGACATCAGCAGAAAAGACACCCTTTTAACACCTTTTATTGCTGTCTTTACGTTTTTGCCCATCGAATTGAACATTGTAGCGTTTTATTTTAGTTGCTATTTTTCGACAAATGGTCGGTCCGGTAATTCAATGTAGTTATGGTGATCTTATGGATAATCATATAAGTAATGCCTTAGGTATACATGTTACAGTCAATACTCATAATCGGTCAAAACCACTTTTGACTGCAAAAATAAGTCAAAAGTGGTTATGATGCCCTTTCTCGATATCACTTTTGACTGATTTTTCCAGTCAAAAGTAGGTATGGTTTTGACCGATTATGAGTTTTGACTGCAACATACATATTATGTCCTATAAGCATCTCACATTCAAAATAAAGCTGCATTTGGACACAAAATTAAAGAGTCATAGAAATTCAAGCGAGCTTAAATTAAAATTTTCACAAGTCAATATAATAAGATGATATTTTACCATCAAAGCACGCGTACTTGATGTAGACCACTCCCGGAGACCAGCTCACTGCAGGCGGGTAGTCTTCAGCTAGCACGAAGCTGCAGTGGTTCACACCAGTGCATCTGAAACAAAAATATCATCATCAGACAACGGTATTCTACGGGTAAGGAACCGATTACCGAAGGAACGCCACAAATCATCATCTCCCGCCTTTTTTCATCTCTGTCGCTATCTGGACCGATATCCTCAAAAGATACTTTTATTGGTGAACTATTAACCCGCCCCGACTACCCACCAAACCTTTCTTTCCCTTAAATCACTCTATCTATTGATAAAAAGTGCAACCAAATCCATTGCGTAGATTATAAAATGTTATACAGACGGTTTGTCGTTACACACCGAAAATGTTTGCTGTCCGTTGACAGCAAACATTTTCGGTGGTTTACGAAAATGTCTTCTTTTGAGTTTTAAAATTGGAAACTTTAAAAATACCTATCCATTTACATTCTGATATTTATTCATCGCGAAAACGTAACAATGACAGATTGAAGCAAACGATTCAATGAAACTACAAAGTATGCTCTTCATTTCACATTTCTCCATCAAGCCCAGTCGAAAAGTCACGAACAAGTAACATCAAGTACGAAGGATTTCGTGAAAACTGGAGATAATCAAACATTGCGCCTTGAAACTTTTTCTGGCTGTATATTACACCGCAATGGAAGATAAATGTTACTTAGAAACTTATCATAATACCTACTTAAGAAACCAAATAGATAATGCTTAAGCATACGATCGAACATTGATCTTACTTTACATGACGAGCTGTCTGTACACGACGTTAATTGCTCTCGGTAACTACCTGCGTGTTTTTAGAAATCAAATGTCAATCATGTGATGAACGAAATGAATCCGTGTTGAAAATTAATTCAACTCTATTGTATTCTTGTCTATGGCCAGTACTCATATGCACATGGGCAAACTTGCACACAAAAATAAAGCATTAGTTTTGATTAAGAAACATGTTTTTCATTCCCAATACAATAGTACCTATATTATGTATGGCATAGATAATACAGTGTGAGTCACGTTAAAGTGTACATATGAAAATAGATGAAACTAGAACTATTTTTATCGACAAAAAAGGGGTCAAAAATTTTTTGAGATTTTTTAAAAAAAAAATTATAGATTTTTTTTTCTTCCAATTACTTATTGTAAAGAAAACGTAATAACTTTTAAACTATATCCTATATCCTATATAACTAGCGGTATATCCTGATAAAATAAAATCAATAATAATGCTAAATAACAGGCGATACTAAAAAAATACATAAAGTACACAAAAAATGTCAACATATAATAAAAAAATATACTTTTTGAAAAAAATCTGCTTTAAAATTCGTGTTTTTTTGGTTATTTCATAAATTTCTCCAAAAAATGCCCCTATAACAGGTGGTTTTTATTACTTTGTATTATTCTCTACCGTATTATCTTTGTAAAACCAAAAACCGCATGTCTCTATCCCTATCACAACATTTGCTATGATCGTTTGAACAAAGGCCTGCCACAACATTATTCTCCGCTACAGGTAGAGACAATTTTAATTTTAACTAAAATACATATTTTACTTCGAAATCTTTTGTTTTTATTTGAAATCTAACTTGTCTTTATTAAAATTACAAATCTAGAGCCATTTTCAGTTTCGTTGTTAATGAAGCGTTGAATGGCGCGCCCGGAGAGGCATAGTTCAAACGATCATTGCAAACGTTGTGATAGGGATAGAGACATGCGATTTTTGGTTTTACGAAGGTAATACGATAGAGAATAATACAAAGTAATAAAAACCACCGGTTATAGGGGCATTTTTTGGAGAAATTTATCAAATAACCAAAAAAACACGAATTTGAAAGCCGAATTTTTTCAAAAAGTATAATTTTTTATTATTTGTTGGCATTTTTTGTGTATTTTTTTAGTATTGCCTATTATTTAGCATTATTACTGTTTTTATTTTATCAGGATATACCGCTTAGTTTAAAAGTTATTACGTTTTCTTTACAATAAGTAATAGGAAGAAAAAAAATTCTATAAAAAATTAAAAAAAAATCTCAAAAAAATTTTGACCTCTTTTTTGTCGATAAAAATAAGTCTAATTTCATCTATTTTCATATGTACACTTTAACGTGACTCACACTGTATAGGTGCTATTGTATTGGGTATTGGCATAGATTCTATGCCAATACCTAACCCAATATTCACACCCCTCAAAAATATAAATTCTACAAACCCAATTGAAAATCTCATAATTCACTCAATCCCTTCGGAGTTTAGTTACATGCACAGTTACAGGTTTATAGAAATAAAATCCTACGATGCAGTAAGTACCAACTTAATAAAAATATTAGCATAGTCTTTAAAAAGGATTTCGCTTCGGTGTGACAGTATGACAGTTAAAAGGGCTTCAAACAAAACGTCTTTTCACATTGAATACATTACCATACCATAGCATTCCCCTCGAACGGTTTTAACGCGGTATTAATTAAATTTCTCAATTATTCGCGATAGAATCTTTTTGTAGACATTTATATAAATGAAATTCCAAACAGAGTGCAACGTCATGTCATAATTGATATTTGATTAAATATTTTAATTAATTTTTACACCAACAATGTGCCAGTGGTGATGACAGTGACTATTAACAATTAATTGTATGGTGAAGTTGAAGATTGATTTTGTAATTCCAAGCCGTGGTATTCCAGCAGAGTAAAATAAGATAGAACCACTCCCATTCTTCCCATGGATGTCGTAAGAGGCGAGGCGTCCAAGGGAGAAATATGCGTAGCGACCTCCCGTACGCCAAATCCTCCCTTTTGCTTTTGGAAAATTGAGAGAGGGTTTTCCTCGTGCAGTGGCTAAATGACCTGACGATGATGATGAATCTTAATAAGTAAGGTGTAAGTATTACAACTAGTCAAATGTTTTATGTAAGTTTGTAGGTTTATGGCTGAGTTGCACCACCAAACTTTAACCGTAGCTATAACGATAACCGGTGTACTTTGTATGGAGTTTGACAGATCTTTGACGTTTGTTAAAGTCAAAGTAAAATGGTGATACCCAGCCTAATTCTTGCTGGATGGCATTTGATTTATTTACAGTTTTTCTTATTTTTCTTAACTCAATATTTAATATTCAACGTTACTTACTATAATATACATACTAAACAGGAAAAAGACGACGAAACATGACATTACAGAAACAAAACCTCCCATTCCCATTGTACTCCCTTTAAAAATCAATTTACATACCTAATAGGAAATGTTACCCGTAAAAATATTGTATTTGAGTGGTCGGAAATGACTTTAACCTTTCATAACGTTAGTTGATTAATGCTCCCGCGTGAGGCACCCACTACGTAAATGGATAGCGACAAGTCGAACCTTAGTTGCTATGAAAATCAAAGGAGTAGTGATTTAAAACTGTATTTTATTCATGAAAGAGACAGGATATTTATAAACGTACTGCTTATCTCAGAATATAGCGTCACTGCCTATTCCTACTTGCAATGACGATGCTAGCAGAGCTCAGTAAAGAAGCAGAGATCCGTTCTAAACATACCTAATAATAAATTGATTTACACCTTGGTGACTGTAATAGTTTTTACCTGTGGGAACCTATAAGTGGTTTACTTGTTACCCAACTTGTCATTATTTATTATACACTGTAAAACCCTAGTTTTCCTAAATAAATAAATATCTGCCCAGTGCCAGCAATTTTAGCGAAAATAGCCCATTAGTAAAAGTGTCAGACTGACCAACGATCTGAAGAAAGCTGGTTCAAACCCCGCTAGGCTATTGTGGTGAACCCATCCGTAATATAGTAATACAAGCTTAAATTATGTTAAATGTTTAGCTTACCACGAGGGGTTAACGGTACTTGCTATTAACAAAATCGCCATCACTTCACGTAATAAACCTTGTAATCTCGGAACCCGATCTACGAATAAACGGTAACAGCTATTGGGAACTGATTAACATCGATTTGTACGTCCAAAGTACTCACAAACTCGTACTAACATTGGTTTGAAATGCTACTGATATAATCAATAGTGGAATATTTGTTAACAATGCAGCATATCATTGGGACAAATAATGTATTTTAAATAGAGTCCGAAATAAGTTTACTTTTCACACAATTTCACGCGGAGTTAATCAAGTTTAAGGCTGAGTTGCACCACCTAACCTAACTCTAACCTTGATTATAACCATAACCGGTGTTTTTGTATGAAGTTTATCAGTTTTTTGACGTTTGTTAAAGTTAAATTAAGATGGTGCAACCCTAAGAGCAGTTTTGCGAGCAAAATTCGTACGTAGAGACGTCCGATCTCAATGACTGTATCCGTGATAGTACTGTCCGAAGTACTTAGAGTCATGGAACTATGGTATGGTAGTTTTAGCACTAAATCCGTTTCCATCCGTCATCCGATTTCTCTAGTTAGTTTTCTAGATTCGTGTTTTGACGGATTCTTCTTATGTGCTACGAGAAGTACAAATTATAGAGTCAGTGAGTGTCACCAAGTTATACGTTACTTTATTTAGTTCAAAAACTACCCCATACATAATTATCAACAATATGAAGGTCCCACTGAGCCCATATTAATTTAAGTACTTTTGAGACGCACAGCTCTGAACTAAAAATCCATCACGTACAAAACGCGTTATGAAATTTCATTAAAAAGCTCGTAAATTTCAGAAGCTACATGCCTAAGCTCGCTACGCAATTATACAAGTCATGCTTACCTATACTTATTTATAGTACAGGCATAATTAAAATATTTCAAAACCCCTCCATGGTTTAGTGAGTAAAATTGGAGTAGGTATTGGTTCTGGGTTCGATTCCTAAATTAAACACAGACATAAAAAAAGAACACTATAATGGATAATTTTATTGCTCCTAGTTTGGTTACGATACTGGCTTTAAACAGCCTGAGACTATAAGAAAAAGAATATTTATATCGATATTAATACTTTTATTTTCTTTTTCACATTCAATCTTGCTTTTAACCGAGATTTGGTTGTTCCTAAGTCTGCAAGTATAGTCAATTCCCTAGCGTGTCATGGCAGACAGACGATAGAGTGATCCTTAAGAGTTCCTTTTAAGTCCTACTAGTGGCTTGCTATCAGCGGTCTAGGATATCTAGCCTGAGACTATGCTTAGACTATACATATAGCGCAATGTAAAATGTTATTATTTATTATTTTTCCCATCGAAACCCTAAAAATCCACATTCAATGGCGCTACGAACCCTGCCAAACATGCAAGTAAAACAAATAGCTGATCTTTGATAACACGCGCACGCACTCGGCACCTGGCTTCACTCGCTTATTCAATATAACGCTCCATTGGTTTTAGGGATCTATCAATCAAACGTTAAATAGCTGTCTGATACATTTTATTGTACGGATTTTAAACGTGAGATCATAAATGTAAACAAATGTTGGTATTAATTAACGTTTAGCAGCTGAAAAATATTTTGTTTGTACAAAATTATCTTGAGTTTGAGCAAGAGATTTACCTAAATAATTGTAAAAGGGACTCACTGATATCACAGTTGTGTTTGCACAAACTTGCTTTCTTTTCGTAAATATGCACTAAGAAATAGATCGATAGCGATCTCAGTGATTCTAGGACTGCATTGAACTACAACAACCGCTGAACAAAATTAAGGTTTTTTAACATTCAACCCTATTAGGCTAAACACAGAGTCGCAGCGCTAGAGTCCATTGTAAATATCTGTCTAACCTGCCAGAAATCAAGCACAATAAATGTTTACAATCTATAATAATAACAGTTCATCAAACATTTGCCCAGTTCTCACACCTAATTAAACACGTATGTAGATTCAACGGACCAGCGCACGCGCCGCAACGGAACATGACGTTTTACAAACATGGCCGCCCTTCCGCCGCGTCACTTCCGGCAGTCCCTATAGCTTAGTGGGTTATTAGAGGGAAAATGGCGCCGAATGTGTAATTAGAATTCAAATTGTCTTAATATAATGGCGTCCGGTTTGAAGTGTCTCATACCTTCACGAATTTAAAGGGCCCCTGATAGGAGCCTCCTTGTACACATAGAAAGTACTTCATTAGTAAGTAAACTAAAAGCATGAACCCAGATTACCATACTGAATTATGGAAATTAAAAACCCATTCATCCTTAAAAGTAAAAAACTAGTCAAAGACTCTATCCTTCACAATAAAGCCAAGATAACTCTATCATGGCATTGCAAAGAACTCTCTTTAGACGCTTTCATTGGTCTGTCCTAGTTTCAATTCCAAGGGATAAAGTTGAAGTCACTTAAGTTTTGTGATTCCCGCTGCCTGTCAAGTACACATTTAAAGAATAATATCTGCCAAAGAATATCCACTGCTGGACAAAGACCTCCTCAAGGATTTTCACAACTACCAGTATAAATGCTTTAGTTAAAAGAAAAATTCACAGCATTTTACAATATTAACAAAAAATATTATAAAGCTTGCACCCGTTACGAGAGTGCAGCAGCTTTCTTCCGCAATTTAAAAGTATAATTACGAATCCTCGTAAGAATTTCATTACTGCAGAAACTGGAGCAAGAGTTAATTATGTACAGAAAAATTCTTTGAAGCTGAACTACTTTTTCTAAAAAGGAAACATGCACAATATCACCATTTTTACCCCCAGGAAAGTAAACTATACAGACGAACTCTCATGTCAGTCATATAGTAATAAATGGTAGGTACCTACTGATGGCAACCACCATCAAGCAACCCAGATACTTGATTAACCTTTCACTAAATTACATGAATTTTTAGGGAAAATTCAAGTCACCTGTAGGCCTAAGATGCGCGCCGCGATAAGCGGTTAACACGCCGTTTTATCGATTTTGCCAATACATTTTAACGTCGATAAAAGTTATCACGGCGCGCATCTTAGGCCTAAAGGGCCTACATTACTTACATTATTAACTATTTTGCTACCAACATAGAGCAATAAACATGATCTTTCACTTGAATAAATGTATTTTCTCAGTGTATATTCTAGTAAACTTTTGCCATTATACCTAAATGCAAAAATGCAATTCAGAGTATTCTGAGTCATTATGGAAATCATTGGGGGAGCCCTATGTTCAGCAGTGGACATACTATGCTGAAATCACCATCATCATCATTATCAACAGCCCTCTACAGTCCACTGCTGGACTATGAGCCTCCTCCACTATAGTGGAGGGTTTTGCCATGATCCCTACCTTCGTGTTGCGTCGCGGGTGTCGTAAGAGGCGACTTAGGGCCTACAGTTCAAATAAAGAACGGGCAGCAGTGCTCTCTGAAAAACATGAATTTTTTAAACTGCGATCTCCATGGCTGAGATGATGATGACGAATTCAGAGATACAAAAATAAAGAAGATATTATTTTTAAAGTTTAACTTTATTACAGTAAAAACGGTTTGTATTGTAACACACTGAAGTCATACAGTTAAGACAAAACAGTTGTCGGAATCCCTTCATTCTAATTAATATTATCTACTAATCCATCTTATTAGTTACCCATTTTAAGTTCACGAACCCTGCGTGATGGTGCTTAATATCCAACCATTTTAGGATTAAAGAGATCCTGTAGCATTAATCACATTGATTTATATTACTATGCTTAATCCTTGAGAAAGACGTCTTCGTAGTGTGGTAATGACGATAGTTTTACTAGCGATAGCTTGATAGTTTATCTGGAACGTGTGAAAATTTAATATAACACTACAATACAACACACAACTACCATTTAATATAACAGTAAAAATGGGGTTATTGCGTAGTGAAACAGTACTTCGTCTGAACTTCGGAACAATAAACTGCCATCGGTTAAATTATAATGAAAATAAGTTAGAACAAAGAAGAAGAATAGAAGAGCCAGTGAAGGAATCGTGAAGAACCAGGTGCAGGAGCAAGTTGATTCGTAGAATAATGTTATTGTAATAAATATCGTAAACTATATTAGTGACACTCGCCAAATTAAAACAAATCGATTGACGTAAGAATAGATTATTGTGGCCACAAAGGAACAAACATACTCGTATCTCGAGCCGAGAGCCGCGAAATCGGGATAAAAACTGACAATATTTTTTTGTAATGTTATCGAGATATTATATTTACCTACATCACTAGTACCAATCTCAATAAATCCCGAATAATACAAACGAAAACAACGGTAATAGGTTTTCGTTAACTTAATGATGTTTGTTTACGATTGGTCTCGAGTTTAACAACTTGATTGTGTAATCGTTCATTAATGGACGATTAAAACATGGCATTTATATCATCAATAAAGAACTTTCTTGAATCAATGAAGTTGAAATAAATCTTCGAAATACATGGTTCTCTGTCTTAACTATGACGTTAAGTATATACTGTTGGAGATAAAAAAAGATACTGTAAAATTACGTAAATATTAAAAAGATATAGGCTATCGTAGAATAACGTAAAATTAATTAAGCACATCACTTTTATAAATGTCTTAACTTTATCGATAATATTTTGTTTCAGATTACACGAGGTAAGATGGCCAGTACCTCTGTGGTTAAGGAGTCTCGGAAAACTTGCTATCACCTTCAGCCTGATATTTTCACTTATCCATCAGATGAGATAGAGCTTCGTAGTATTTAAAAAAAGGCTTCATCATCATTTCATTCATTCATAACATAGGCCTCCCCCAATGATTTCCACATCGCCCAGTTGGTAGCGAGCGACCTGCATCCAGCGTCTTCTTACTACCTTTATGAGGTAATCGCAAAAAAAGGCTTAGGTTGGAAAAAATCTGCTTTTTACGGCATCCAACTTCCCTAAAAGAATGTTACAATACGGTTTAAAACTTTAAACAATGCTACGAACACCTTAGCTAGAGCTGAACTAGTTAGCATTCCTTTGAGCTATGTATGTCGAGTGCGATGCGACGCAACCCGGCGGTTCTATTTCCGAGGAAGTTCGGCGGATGCGCGACCCACTTACATACAGCATGTCTAGCTAAATACTGCAACCTTATGCAGTTGAAATTGGGGTGATTTTACAATAAAATATGAAGTCTGGTATGGCTGTACATACCTGGATCGAACTTCAGAGAATCGGGAACGGATTGCCATTGTGTTCTGGGATTAGTTCTGAGCGAAGTTTGTGCTATGCTCTATAACTCCATAATAGTTTTATACGTAAGAAGACAAGAAATTCTTAGGTAGGTACGTATAAAACAATGTAGAGCATCATATTTAAAGTTCGTATTCGAAAAAATGCATAACCAGACGCTATTGTTTCTTCATAATACTCGTTTAATGCCAAATAAGTTTTATTTCGTTCGTTTCTGCCAAATGACGTCCACTGCTGGACAAAGGCCTCCTACGAGGATTTCCACAACGAATCCAGGTGCTTCCCGCGACAAAGTATTTGCATTAATAGAAATAGAAGATTTTTATTTGACCCGAACATTGACATTGATACAATAATGTACCTACTATCCGTTCGCGATAAGTTTGCCGCTGGCGATATGACGTCACTAGAAGGAAAGCGTCTATAACTTTAGCAAACTATATTGAAAATATTTTTTATTTATTAATATTGATAAAAATTGTGTATTTGCGTAAAATAAAACACTCAATTGCGTTTAATCACTAATTATTTGCGTTTAATCGCGGTTGGAGGAGGGGACGCGCATTCCACGGACCGGCAAACTTAGCGCGAACATGATTTATATATTTATAACTCAAGTTACGTACTAATATTATTTATTTAACGTAAATGTTTTTCACGATAAAAAGCTGTTCGTCTGCTTTACATTAATTGCCTGCACAGATGAAGGCCTAACAACAGAGCACTCAGTTCTCCATTGTATATGAGTACATCCCACAGGTTATACAACCTATGTGCCGCGTAAAATATTTGCGGGACACCTTTGTTTTTCCCAAACAATACTACTCTTTACTCGTCTGGGTGGGGCTTAATAATAACGACGAACGCACCTACTGAATCATGGATATAGCCTACGCCAGTTAAAACTGTCAATTTTGTAAATGTAAAATGAAAATAATCGACTCGAAGTGAGATTGAACTGCCTCTGTATCCTTAAAAACAAAGATAGTTTTAAGCACTGAAATGAAATATTAAGGCTGAGTTTAACCACCTAACTTTGACCGAAAATATAACGATAACCGGTGCTTTTTGTATGGAATTTGACAGATTTTTGACGTTTGTCAAAGTTAAAGTAAGATGGTGCAACCCAGCCTCACGCCCGTATTCACAAACTATGCTTGCTTATGTGAAGCAGCGAACCGAACACACAGCGTTGAATAGAGCTTTTTAATTGGTTTATAAATGTGTTACCCTGTGCGTCCACGCGCGCTATGAGACCTCATAGTAATGTTTATGAATACGGGCGTAAGTCTTTCACTCAATTTAGGTCAGGATTAGACACTCATAAACGACAAAATAATTAAAAATTAAAAGGTAGCACTTATGGGTTCTTTACAAAACTTGCTTATCTTTGAGCCCTACTACTTAGCGCATCGAGACACAATTTTATTATGGCAAGTGCTGAAAAGAAAGATAACAAAGGAACATAGGTACTCAAATAATTAGATTAACAGACAATTCGTATCGATGTTGTTCAGCTTCATTTGTGACAGAAATTGCCAGTTTTACTGAAGCGGACTTTAGGTAGGACTCATCATTTCACATCCCAGTATTTAAAGCTTTCAGTTCGAAAAAAGCGCGTCTGAAAATAAAACCAGAGCTTTTATAAAAATAAAACTTCATACTCAGGTAACTCGTTCAGAAGTGGGACACGTACGGAACGGTTCCATTTGTAATTGCGTTCCGAGCTTTCTATGATACGGGAACTTTAAAAGCTCCGCAATTAGCTTTTAAACATGAGTTACGAGTAAGTAACGGAGTTAACTCTAATGGTACGGGGAAATAATGGTTATCTTAATTACATCTTTTTTAATTGATCTTTTAGTGGTATTTAATAAAGAACAAAATTAAATATTTCCGATCGCGCATTGAATGCGTTGCTACGAAACAAACACTTATGTGTAAATTTTATTTAAAATTTAGTTAATAAAAGCAAGAACAAATCAACCTAACTAGGAATTAAACTCAGAACCTCTGAAATCCAAATAATTAACAATCACAGACTAAAAACTATGTTATATTTCGAATCAAATTTTGGGTGCTGTTAAAATTCGGGTCGAAGTTCAATTTTCAAGCATAGAGACTTTTCATTGGTTGAACTTCGATAGATATTTTCTTTATACCTAAAAGTTATGAAGATAAATCGTACGTACGTAGTCGTTTCGTAATACGAGCCTGCGGTCACGGTCACAAAGTGTCACCTCGATATTTCATTATTGAAATATAACAGAGAAACCGATTATTATGTTAGATTATCGGTTTTCCCTCTAATTTATTCTACCGCATAGCAGCAAGCCAACAATTATGGAACGTATTGGTATTTGCCAAATCAGGACTTGGCTGGACGTCAAATCCACTTAGTTGGTACATGGGTGTCACCCAGCCAACAACATAGCATAATACTCGTAGGCATGGCCGCCACTGCGCTGATCCACGCAATTTTGCCAACATGGTTCTTTTTACTTCAAAATGGGTTGTAGCATATCACTGCACTGGATCAGTAAATATCGAAAAGTGCTATGTATTATGTTTACTAAATGCTATGTGTGTTATTGAACATTTGAGGTAACGTATGAATCTTTCATTCGTAGGTATTTGTATATTAAGAGCATCTCCAAATTAGAAGCGCTTCTTTCAGTAGCGCCAATGATAGTTTTCACACAATTTCTAAAAGCGCAGTTGCAGCGCCCCTACCAGTTGTATGGAAATGAAATTGTATGTCTCTAATTTGAAGGTGATATGTAATCCTTAATTTCTTATAAGTATTTACTTTAATGTTTAACAATTTTAATGTCATATATTGAGAGACGGTAGAGCTGGCACGCATTAATTAGAAACTCGGAAAATGAATTATATTGGGAATACAGTTCCATTTTATTGTGCCATAGCGCAATTTCGAGTAAATGAGTCAGTAGAAAGCTGCGTTAGAGTTGCTCAGTTGACACAACCAATTTGCTCAGTCCCAGCCATACGGGTAACCCCACGTGGCGTATTTGGCACCAAGCCAACGTGGATCCGATAATTTGCATCAATATCACCAATATTGGTCCCAACTCCAGCCAGCTCCATCCGTAAGTAGATCCTTTGAAATGAAGGCCTTTTTTATTTCAAGACTTATTTAAAACTCTATGTATATCAACTGTGCTTTTCAAACTGTCTGTAGTTCTACTAACCCACAATAAATAAATACTGAAGTTGTTTAAAAAAAAGAATCTTCTCCTTGGGTTGTCGGTTTCGTGTATTTTTTATTTATGTGTCTATCTTGTGTGGTGTACAATAAAGTATATTCTATCTCTTCATTATTTTCAATTAAGTGGTCAATAGGTAAATCCATTACAGAAAAGCCTTATTCGTTTAAAACTTAATTAATTACATAATACCAGGCAATCTTATCGTTCACCTCGAATTGCCAGGCCAATCTAGGCTTAATTTTCCGGTCTATATAATTTTACCACCCACAAAGCCTAAGCTAATGAAGTAATTAAATATAATAGGCTACGTTTCATAAAACAATTAACATTCCAGCGAACGATTTACATAAAAAAACTACTTATGGTTATTTAAAAAAATACAGTCATAAGCGCTGTTTTAACCATAGGTAGCGCTTTATCTTTTTACCCGATTGCGCCAGAAGGAGGGTTATGTTTTTCAGTGATGTTTTAACACGATTTATGAACAAGATGATTAAGTGATAAAATTATGAAAAAACTATTTTGTTCCTTATTTATGGATAGACTAGCTTTCCGCCCGCGACTTCGCGCGCGTGGACAACATTATCTATATATTTTACGGAACCCTATTTTTTTTTTTCAAAATAAAATTTAGCCTTTGTTACTCGTGGATAATGTAGGTTTTGAATGGCGAAAAAATTTTTAAAAATGGTCTAGTAGTTTTTGAGCCTATTCATTACAACCAAACAAACAAACAAAGTTTTACTCTTTATAATATTAGTGTAGATAGTGTAGGTAGTAGATAATGGTAATATGGGTTTAAAAAGTGAACCGTTTTTCTTCTGACCCTGTAATAGTAAGTGTATCGAAAAAAATAATGTAGTCAAGTGCATACTTTCCCTAAAGCATCAGTACACACCTTGCATTAATTTCCCCAACAACCCCTAATTTATATTAGAGTGGTGTGATATCGCTCCCATAACGTATGCAGTACAGACGGCCCCCGAGGGTGATTGTCGGGATAGGGCCCCTCCTGCTAAATATTCCAGGCTGACTGAAATCACGGAGGAAATTGAAAAGGAAACAAGCCTAATAACAACTTATATAGAGTCTAATATACAGTATACTATAGTAGGTACCTAATTTCGTTCGTTTCAGCCAAATGACGTCCACTGCTGGACAAAGGCCTCCGCCAAGGATTTTCATAGCGATGGATCCTGCGTTGCCCGCATCCTGGCTCTTCGCGCGACCTTCCAGATCGTCGGTCCACCTAGTGGGAGGTCTGCCCTAAAGTACCTTAATTAATTGCTACATTATCGGCATTTTTGCAAAATTGAGAAGGAACCAATCCTAAGCATCTAAGGCGCATCCTACCCTATTTTAATAAGATTTAAAAACATAATTAGCCTCCTTAACAATACAATTAGTTACACACATTTTGTATAGTAGTTTCAATGACTTGCCTGTCGTTATACATATTTTAGCAGTTCAGTGAAATCACAGAGGAAATTGAAAAAGAAAGACTAATTAATATTATTATTTAAGGCTGAGTTGCACCATCTTACTTTAAGTTTGACAAACGTCAAAAATCTGTCAAACTCCATACAATAAGCACCGGATTATGTTATTGTTACGGTTAAAATAAGATGGTGTAACTCAGCCTAAGAACGCTGTCATGTCTTTAGAAATACTCGAAAGTAAAGAAAAGTATTTATTGGTACAGACAGTATACAATAAAGCAATTAACTTCTTTTCACTTCATATTAGACATTGAATATTGTTTATAATTT